CAGGTAGAAAGTACTCTACTAGAAGTACAAGTACAAGTACTCTGAGCTAAGTACAAGTATTTCTACGTTGTACTTGAAAAGTACAAAAAGTACAAGTACATGTACTTGCGTCCTACCTCTGACTCGTTAGTAGCAGAAGCTGACATTTTCATTCAAACATCGTTCTTTTTCGATTTTTCTTCTTTCATTTTTTCCAATTTCTTCTTCTTATCATTCCTTACCACGTACTTCCCTACAAATATAAGACAGACTGCACCTGCGTTGTTATTCAATTATCACCGATCATGGTATATCTGCTACCGTTCTTTATCCTCTCTCTTTCACTCATTTCCAATGACCACTGAAAACTTTCACTTTTATATAAAAGTGCGGACTGCACTCGACATTTCGACAGAAGTTATTCATGATGAATTGAAGCTTGTTTATAGTTATGAAGCTTCTGGTCTCAGCACGATTGAACGATGTTCAAAACTATTTCGCGATGGTCGAGAGGAAACTGAAGATAAACCGCGACCTGGTAGACCTATCACTGAAACAACTACTGAAAACATTGAACAAGTTCGGCTTTTTATCGATGATAACCCCTACATGACAACCGAAGATATTCAAAAACAAACTCATTTGAGTTATGGGACTGTCCAACGAATAATCAGTGATCATACCGGGTGTCTCAAAAGTTTTGCAACACTTTTTATTTTGTTAATATCTGGTCTTGAGGAAATGGTAATACTCTGATTTCTTTTTTGAATGATAGAGCAAGAAACACTGTACAGGAAATGTATAGAAGAATCCTTAGTCAGTGGTTGGAAAATGTTTGGCGCGGTCAGTATTGAATGTCTGTCTGATACGACGGTGTCCCATCGTAATCCGATGAATATGAATGTCTTGAATTCAGTTTTGTTAATCTTTCACGAGCTTGGACATACAGTTGCTATAAAGGATCTGACTATACATCTTGCAGAAAACGATGAAGTTACTATTATACAAGGGAGTCAGTGTAGACGGAAAAGAAGGAAAATCGTCATAAATGAGACTCCACAGAGCTTATTTGTGAATTATACATCTTGAGTTTTAAAAAACACATACGTATAGCTTCGCATGAGTTTCTTTTGACTTGTTTTGTAGCGCTTTTGACGACACATGTCGTGTACACAAGATTCATATTCTATCGTTTCTGAAAAGTAAAATATCTTGAAAATACAACTGAAGTACACCGTAAAAATGGGACCCAGAAATGTGCACTTTTCAGTTTCGAGAACGCGAAGTACGCCAGATGCTAGTATTTATGATGGTTTGATATAGCTCTGAAGGAGCTTTTCAAGGCACAAATTTTAAAAGAAGAATCAGATGGATATCTCTTTTAAATATCAAATTATATAAGAAACAATAAAAACTATGCAGTTAATTTTATTGTGCTGGGACATCGTCGTATCAGACAGACATTCAATACTGACCGCGCCAAACATTTTCCAATCACTGACTAAGGATTCTTCTATACATTTCCTGTACAGTGTTTCTTGCTCTATCATTCAAAAACGAAATCAGAGTATTACCATTTCCTCAAGTCCAGATATTAACAAAATAAAAAGTGTTGCAAAACTTTTGAGACACCCGATATGAATTCCATGGAATGGTAGACAACTGCTCATAGATCACTGAACCGTCTCAATTTCTCCTCATAGGAGTAAGACAAACTGCCAACGCGAGAGCAGCTAGTCGTTTACCGATGCTATGTGGAGCACCGTTCCCGGCTAACTACTTCTAAGCCTTCCTTAGTTGTTTGACTCGCTTTTCATTTTTATCAATTACGATAGTTAGCCGAGCAATTTGTATTAAATACACGTCACTGTCCGGGTATGTCACGTGGAAATCGAATCGATTCTACAGGAAATAAAGACTCTCGAGTGCATCTAGTAGTCGGGGATATAAGAACTAAGGATATCCGCATATACTACCATGGAATTCTTGAAGGTTTAAACTTTTCTCAAAAGCTGATGTTCGCTTGACCCTTTAAGTCCCGGTTGGACATGTATATCCCACCTAAAAAAAGTACATTTCTCAAATGAATTCAAAACTATTCCAGGTTTCCACGATTTCTAAAGGATATTTTCATCCTTTTCTTGTAGTTAAGACCAGAGGTGAACACCTGACAAACTTCTTCATTTTGATTGTTCCGTCTAGCGCTCTGCTCTGAAGACACATACTGGTAGATAACACAACTTTTGTTGTGGCTTAATCGGTGTTCTATGGCTACCATCTGGTAAATTAACACAGTTTCATAAAAAATGAGCTATATAAAAAAGCCGGGGCCCAAGGACTTAATTGAACCTATACATGTGGACTAAAGCTCAGATTATTTCATGATACTTGTCGCAAAGATCTATTCAAATGTAACCGTAATTTTTTAAATCCGAGAGTAAATAAAGGTTGAGTAAAAAATATAGTGCTGGCCAAAATAAAAAGATGCGAAAATTAAGAAGATATGACATGTTGTCGTCCGTTCTACGAACATGATACCTATTTAAATCTTTTGATAAGCATAGATATTGACTTGCTCTTTAAGGATATAATACGAAAGCATTCAAATATTACACAAGCTCAATAAGAATAGCTTTAGAAAAAATTTTTTCTATTTTTAAGTGGCCGGAATTATAAGAGCGAAACACAAAAATCAGATCTTTCTCGTATTCCTTCCACGGATTTCTAATCAGTTCTGTTTTTCTAAATAGAAGATTCGGAAAGGAGAAATAATCACGAGTTGCCTAATTCCACTTATTCCGGGGTACTTGTAATTTATGCAACCAGCACAACCACCGAACTTTCTGAAATATCATATCGACGTCTCCCACAACCACCCACAGCTTGATGATTTATGTTCAGAATCGGCCGCACTCATCCACTTTATACGAGATTTAACGAATATAAATGTTCAACAAACAGAAAAAAATTANCAAGGAGTACTTCAACTTATAACTCATAATCTATGTACCATCAATATGTTTATGTCATTTGTTTCATAAATCCATTGAAACAAGTGTTGACGACATTAAAATAAATATTGTTTTCAAACACATAGAATAATCATGTTAATAAAATCTATTAAACTATATGAATGGAGCTTCTTTGTTATCTGGGAAATGGGCATGGTTTACGTTGACATTATTGTGCATTTTTATGAACCAAGATGAAAATAAAAATTCCAAAAATCGATTTTATACTCTTTGATTCAATTTAATGCCTTTAACGATAAATACTCCAATATAAATTCATATCATCAGCCGGTTTCCTAAACTGTCAATAAAGTGAATATTTCTTTCTGAAGCAAGTAGGACAAAAGAAAAACTATGCGTACTTATATAGAAGCTTAGATGAGGACTAAAATGAAATGATAGTTGGCTATTGCACCTGTCTACAAAATCCAGATAAGTTTACAAAGCCCACCTATTAGTCTTGTAGTGGAGCATAGTTATTAGAAATGCCACCATTAAAAACATGGTCCGTTAGTTAATATTTCATACCCTTTCTCAAATCAAGTTTTGATTGTGATTCGAAAAATATTGTGTCAAGAAGTTTCAAGAACGAGAACAGTGCTTTTTATATTTTTTGTCCGAAAACCTTTGTCAAAGATTTTGCGACTGTTTACTGAAAATAGTCTTTGAAATGAATCAAAACCACGATCTGTTAAAAAAATAATGTGCGCGGATATTTTTTTTAAATAACTTTCGATAGAAGCATGATAGAAAGCTACAACCTTCACCATTGAAAGAAGTAGATGAGATCGCATCGAATCATATAAAAAATGACTTTGACTGCTCAACTCTTGTACAACAGTTGAAACACAAATTGCGACAAGAACAGGTTTGATTTTCTCAGAAGAAAACGAGTTTCTTCGCCGATATTGCTGTTTAAATGGGCTAGAACTATCTATATTCCCTCTACTGAAAGGAGGGTATACACAGAATTTGAGCTAAAGTTCGTTCGTTTGTCCGTACGTTCGTCCATTCACGTACTTTACACTAACGAAAAAGCAATCTATATCTCTGACTAAGAAGGGTTGACCGAAGGGTAATCGGGGTCGAGGAACTCGAATCCGAGGTTAGTTTCTCGAAATTCCAATTAGCTAATTAAGCATGAAAAATTTTTTTGTTGTCGAGTAAGGATTGACCGAAGGATAATCGAGGTCGAGGATCTCGAATCCGAGGTTAGTTTCTCGAAATTCCAATTAACTCATTAAGCAATGAAATTTTTTGTTGTTATCGAGTAAGGGCTGACCGAAGGATAATCGAGGTCGAGGATCTCGAATCCGGTGTTAGTTTTTTCATGAACACTTTCTGACCCGTTTTTTACGACAAAGAATCAATTTTTTCAGACGATAATGTTTTAAGCGGCAATATGTAGAACAAAATGTAATAGCTGACTGACGTCCGATCGATGGATCTCTATAGTCATCAGTATATTAATGAGATCACACACTTTTATAAACAGCTATACTATACGAATATCATCTGATGCCAGTCATTCAAAATAATGTTTCGCTTGTCAAGTGTTGTCTTCGAGAGTCACAGTAGCATAAAGAGGGTGACTTTTATAGAGNTTTTTAGACGATAATGTTTTAAGCGGCAATATGTAGAACAAAATGTAATAGCTGACTGACGTCCGATCGCTGGATCTCTATAGTCATCAGTATATTAATGAGATCACACACTTTTATAAACAGCTATACTATACGAATATCATCTGATGCCAGTCATTCAAAATAATGTTTCGCTTGTCAAGTGTTGTCTTCGAGAGTCACAGTAGCATAAAGAGGGTGACTTTTATAGAGGGAATAGAAGAGAATGAATGGACTACTTTCAAAAGTGGCTGTAGACTAAATGGAAGAGTGAAAATGTACATGTAACGGCTAGCCGCGAGTAGCCGACGAGCGACTAGTCGTCGATTTCCAGAATAACATTTCCAAGAATAAATTTTGTAATTTTTATAGAGCTTTAAGATTCCTTGGACAGAACTAATCGTTGCTCTCTACGAACATAGCTAGCAGCTATTTAAGGTTCCTCGTGGTGGAGTGAAGATGACAATCTTGTCCAGAGAAAGATATAGCTATGTAGACTTTCTAAGTTTTTGATTATGAGTCGATTTTCCGAAATGTGCTTATTTTCGGAACGCGTCTTCGTCCGATTGAAGTTAAGATAGTAAAATGAGTACGCATGGGAACAGCTAGCTGTGAGTGGCCGACCGAAGGGAGGCCGACAAACGACTAGTTGTTTCTTTTGAAAATTAGTTGAAAAGTGATATTTATAAGAATGTCGCAGTGTCCATAATTTTTTCTAAGGTATATAGTATATATATATTAGCTAATTGCAAGTTTTTTGTAACGCTGTAATTTTGCTACTAAACGTGAATTATGTCCCATATAAATTAAACAGACTTTTATGATTTTTTTCACGATATGTTTAACGAACTATTGACCTGCACTTCACAAAAATCACTTAGCTATCATGCATTCATCCTGAGATATCGGCTAGACTATGTGAAATATGCCAGTTTTTAACGCCATCTACTAGGGAGAAAGCCGTGTGGTTACTTGTCTATTAGTCATCCGAAGTTTGATAGTTGTTAATATTTCTTAAATTATGTATATATAGTTTGAATATAATAATCACTCGCTTGTTTGATGTTCTTCTATCCGCGATTTTTTTAAACCTTCCGACTACAGATACTTCTCAGTTTTTCTGTCACGCGAAATTGAATTCGATATTGCAGCGCAACGACTCTTTCGAAACCGACCGGGGTGGTCTCAAAGGAGAGCTCACTAGTCCTATATTGAAATGCTAGGGACGGTGAGAGAACTGTCTAATTACTTATTGAGGATGAATGGATAGTCCAATTTGAAAACCCTATTGTCAGACACTTTGTCACGCGAGATTTTCGAATTTGCTCAGCTTACAAAAGTCACTATACTTCATCGAGTTTCGACGAAACTTTGCCAGTTTTAGTCACCTGTTGCGGTCAACTACTGGTCAAAATCTCAGAGTCAGATGTCTCATATATTGTTTAAAAAAAGACGAAACACTACAGAAATGTCACGCGAGATTGACTTCCATGTAAACTCCTCATATATAGGAGTAAAATGAATGAGTTTAGTATTAAACATTGTCGCATGGAAAGATTTACTTTGGTTGACTTGAGGTGTAGACAGAAAAAACTCGGTTTCTCTCGTACTGAAGAGATTTGCTATGAGAAATATGAGATCATAAACGCTTTTAGACCCGTTTAACCCAGAGTTCTTAGTATAAGTGTGACTATAATGTGTATCATTGCACATACAGTCGTCCTTTCATGTGTAACGGCAAGAAGTTCTCTCAATTTTGAGAAAAATAGAGAAGGGGAACATATAAGGCAAAAGCTTGGTTCGAATGATTTTCACGTATTTGAGAAACTATTGTATTTCGGCTATTTTAAGTACAACTGTTGGGAAACTTTATGCATATTGTCATCTCACTTAGTACTGTACGATACAGTATCCGTCGTATTGAAACGTGAAAAATTTTGTTTTCAATTTTTTTCTGTCAAACGTTACAAAAAACTTGCAATTAGCTCATATATATAACGTATTTTCGAGCTTCTAGGAAAAACTGTGTAGATCACCAACTCATTCAACTAAAGATGATAATAAAAGATATACTGTAGGTCGCGAAGTTGTGAAGAATTTCGGCAACTTTGCTAGAGACGGACTCAACAAGCACGAGGTACTTTTTAATATGAAAATATCATTAAACACTTACTAGGTACCGACGGCTAGGGGTGAGTGGTCGACCGGAGAGAGGCCGACAAACGACTAGGCTTTATAATTTCAGAAGATTTCAGGAAGCGAAATTAGTCTAGGTAAAACGTTCTGGCAATTTATCAAAGGATCAAATCGTTCAACTGAGATAACTTTTTTTCTCTCTTTAGACGAATAGTAGCGCTCTAATACTATCCTTTCAGTAGAGGGTTTAGCGGCTACTAGGCCGCGTTACTTGTATATAAAGAAGAAAGTTTGCTTGTTTGTTTCTGCGCTATGCATTGAGTCCCCTTAATAGCTATCGGCGTGAAACTTTGCACGATGCTTCCATGAGACCAGAGGAAGGTCGTCATATACCGTTTCCCGAGAATAAAGGAACCAGCCGTTTGCTACAGGCAATCTATGAAACTGGCCAATAGGATAGCAGGATTTCAAAAGTGGGTGAAATCAATAGCGAAGGCGACCGAAGGCCGTCTGAGCGCTCAAAGACATCAATACACGTGTTCTCTACGCCTATGATAGTTCGGTGAATGCTAAAGATAACCTGCGAAGCTCACCAATAGCGTTACAGGATCTGAAAAGATTAAGATAAATGATGAGGGTAGGTGAATTCGAAGGATATAAGGTATGAAATGACGTGAGAGTGAGAAAGAGGTCGATGAATGAATAGCTGGAGTGGAAAATGAATATCAGAGGGAGAGGAAATTTTCATAATTTCTGAGTCAGAAATTAGCTTTGGTAACTCTTTTCCATAAAAAGATATAGCCAAAACTGGCATTTTATGCGATGCACGGCAGGTAAATAAGGACTGGAAGTGTAGAAATTTGAATTATACTGATTTTCTATCTGTTATAGCTCTTCAACACATGAGATGTTTGACATAGATATTTCTTATTCGCAGCGGGTACTCCCTCTAGTTGGATATAATACTCAGAACTTCCGAAAGAGTAAAACTTTGAGTCAAGCTCTATATACAGTTTAGCAACCCCTGAACTGATGATTTCCATTCAGCCCTTAAAGTTTAAATTTTTCCTATCTTCATATAATAACCATAATCTCTTCCAAGGTGACTGTGGATCACTATTGACTTGGGAAATGAGTCACAATGGTTGTATATGAATCGGAAGGTTAGTTCAGCCACTTTTCAGTGGCGAAAATCGCAGCTGTCCACCTTGTTCCTACCGAAAATTAATCAAAAAATACTCACGCGCATTATTTTTAAGCGGACAGCAGTGCACCCTAACCCTCAGCGACGCTCTATCGAGCCATGTAGAAAAAAATTGAAATGAATTTCACTTGTTTTTTGCATTGCGTAAACCTTACACTGGTCTGTACCGAAGAAATGGCATAAATAGAATAATCAATCAGAAGAGGAAAATCAAAATGACAAGCACCATGAGTACGGCGTATAATCGTGGAGGGTTACACTGAAAACATAAAAAACTGAGTAACTAGAAAGTCGTGTACAAAGTGATACGTTTCCCATGGATTCACCCTATTCAAAATAAGATTTGAATCTCAAGCTGAAAAGTATCGCTGTGTGAAATAAAATATGCGTATCACTGCTTTTCGTTTCTTNTCTAAAAAAATCCGGCGTTTAATCAACCCTCAAAAATGGTTTATGTAGGGGTGGCACTTTAACTTTAACTTTAAAGGAAAAGTTAAAGTATAAAGTTGCTTAAAAACATAAAATAAAGAAGTTTAACGTGACTTTAAAGAACTTTATACTTTAACTTTTTCTTTAAAGTTAAAGTTAAAGTTAAAGTGCCACCCCTAGGTTTATGACTGAAAAATTTGTTCATCAGCCTGATAAACCCAAGGGTTTATTCTCTATTGATAAACCCAAGGGTTTATTCTCTATTGATAAACCCTTTTTCCATTGATCAGCTTCATCAACCCTCAGTCAAGAGTTTGTCATCACTTAAAGGAAACACGTCATTTTAGGGTTGATGAAGCTGATCAATGCAAAAAGGGTTTATCAGTTTGCAACGTATAACAGACCCTTCGTGGGTTTTTGAAGAAAAAAGGGTTGATCTAGGGGTAGATCAGGTTGATGAACAAATTTTTCAGTCATAAACCCTTTTTGAGGGTTGATTAAACGCNCCTTCGTGGGTTTTTGAAGAAAAAAGGGTTGATCTAGGGGTAGATCAGGTTGATGAACAAATTTTTCAGTCATAAACCCTTTTTGAGGGTTGATTAAACGCCGGATTTTTTTTAGAGTGTATGCTTAAGAGAGTCACGTAAGAAGCGTGACGAACACTATTGATAGCCTAAGTTCAGTTATTACCAGATACACTTCGTACTATTATTCCGTGAGATGAAAAACGAAGCAGCCCTCGTTAGTTTCTGTTAGAAATAGTAACTTTCCACTTTCGCGTTTAAAGGATCTAGCGTTTCGAAAGGAAAGCATCTGAAGAAACCACAAGAAACGAAAAGCAGTGATACGCATATTTTATTTCACACAGCGATACTTTTCAGCTTGAGATTCAAATCTTATTTTGAATAGGGTGAATCCATGGGAAACGTATCACTTTGTACACGACTTTCTCTGAATTTGCTCAAACTCTCAGGGTTTGTAGAGCTCGATGCGCTGATCATTTTGGTATCAAAATACCCTGGGCTCGCGTATGTTTTGACTCCGAACGACCCCAAATACAGTTTGAAGAAAATAGCGATAATCAGGAAAATTTGGGCGGTCATTGACAGTATTCTTCATTTTTTATCTCTATAGAAAATCGAAACCCCAACTATTTATATATATTCTGATAGCCCGTCTTCCGCTCTATCAAGCCATACGCAAACCAAATAGGTCGGTTTAATCAAATGAGGCTTTGAAGGAGCACACCTTCATGAACTTGACTCCTCTATTGCTCAACTCTGCCGAATTTGGGTGGGCTGGGGTATAGTGGGTTTTGTAGAGCGTCTCTTGCTCTATGTCGTGGCGTATAAGACTCCTCGCCCGGTTTCGACTTTCAATCGTTAGACAGCCGAAGAACGTACGTGATCATTTTAGATCTGATTCCGAATTTAGGTATGTGTGGGTGTAGGCGCGGATGAATTGGAGAATTCAAGCCCATGCTTCATATCAGTCACCCTCACCCGTAATACTCAATGATCGCTGTAAACGTGGTACGTTTTCCATGGATTCACTCATACCTTTACAACGTTTCTAGGCATGTACTCATAAGAATGGAATCAAAAAGATTTCTAACTTGTTACACGCCATCTTGCAGAGGGTTTTGACATACCTGGATCCACTGAATTTATTGTAATACGCATCCGTTTATCTTGGAACTCTTTTGCAAATTGATATGTCATCATATTTAACGCTGCTTTTGAACACGAATATGCTAGTTTATTTCTACCCTTTATATGATTTCCAAATGATCCTAGAAAACGAAAGTTAAAATCTTTGTAAGTTTCAGTAGGGAGATGTTCAACAAAAAAAACGTTATACCTAATTGACTAGATACGTTTATGATACGTGCACCATTAGGTGACTTTTGTAGAAGTGGAATGAATGCCTTTGTCACGGAAAATACCCCGAAAAAGTTGGCCTCGAACGTCTGATGTAGCTTCTCCATCTTTGTTTCACTAGGTGCTTCTCCTTCATGCTGTACTGCTGCATTATTTATTAATATGTCTAAATGCCCATATTCTTTTTCCACTCTCGCTACTGCACGATCAATTGTCTGCTGATTTGTGACATCGATCTCCATAAGCTGTGCAAAAATATTTTCAATCTTTAATTTCTCCATTGCCATACTGCCTTTTACGAGATCCCGAGAGCCAACCAGTACCAATATACCTTTACGACCCAATTGACGTGCTACTTCGAATCCAATGCCTTTGTTTGCCCCAGTGATTAGTGCAACACACTTTTCTGAGGGCCACACAATGGGTTCTTGGCATGATGAGAATGATACTTTCTGCTCCATGGTTTGGTGAGTATCTGTACGACCTGCTGTTAAACGTCTAACTTCAACTAAACAGCTCTGAAAATATGAGTCTTACATAGGGGTGTGAAAAAGCAGTGGCGACGGCATTTTCATATCACACAATTATTGTGCCTCATTCAAATTTGATTTTACATAGAACCAAAAGGAGTGCACGATAACTTTTAAGCGTGAGTTTCAGAGAAACTCAGACGGTCGTGAGACAATGATGTCTAAGAATATGCTGATTTCTCTGTATGGTACAGAGGTAGGACGCAAGTACATGTACTTGTACTTTTTGTACTTTTCAAGTACAACGTAGAAATACTTGTACTTAGCTCAGAGTACTTGTACTTGTACTTCTAGTAGAGTACTTTCTACCTGTATTTCAACCTCCGAAGCGATACGAAAATGGACCAATGGGACTACAGGATTCATTTTCCCATTTTCTTCGCTATTCTC